CACTTCCTGTTCTGGCCTTGTGAGCTTGTGCCTCACATAAGTAGGCACAGTCCTCACCCAGGTGTCCAAGTCTTCCTCCCTCTTCTTGTCTCCAGAGAAAGGCTTGGGACTCATTAGAGGTATCTTGGGCATCCACTGCATCGGCTGCATGGGCCCAGATGCTTGATGCAGCGGCTGCATAGCCACTGAAACAGGCTGTTGCATACTAACCTGGGCCTGGCTGGACAGTGGGACTGTAGTGACCACTGTTGTAGATGGTACGGTTGAGACTGAATGAACCGGACCACTAGTTGCACCTAAACCACCCGGGGAGGGCATGCCAAACATGGGAGAGAAAGTTTGCCCTGTGCGTTGCGGCATCGATGATGGACCCGCACCTACAGGGGGAACTACAGCAAACGGTGGCTGCCTCACCATTGTGCGAGGGCCCCAAAGTTCAGCCAGAATTTGTTTCTGGCCTGCTACCAAATCAGCCAACAATTCCTGCTGGACGCTTTACGCTTCCGCTACTGAAAGTAAGGCTCCTCGCAACACACGAACAACAGGATCCAATATTGACTCATCCAGTCTTTCCAGTCTGCCTAGCTCCTGAGCTCTACTCTCTAGTCTAGCTTTTCTTTGCATAGCTTTCCTTCTCCTCTCTACTACTTCGTCCATCTGCCGCTGTAGCTCATCCTGAAGTTCTTCTGCTTGCCGGATTTCCAAGTCCTCCGGCGTGATAGGAGATTGGCTGACTCGCACATGACCAATCTGACTAGTGGCTGCCTGTCTACCACTCTGACTGACTCCTGACGAAGTGGGCTGTGTAGAGGATTGCGTCATAGATGAGGTCGCCATGGCCGTACTGATGCTAGCTGTAATTCTAGCTCTAGCACTGTCCTTAGCTGCCCTCGCTCTCCTTGCCGCTGCCCTCTCTCTAGCCTCTCTCCTCAATCTTCTCTCGTCTCCTGGACCTAACTCCAGGAATGTCAAGGGTCGACTGCGGGCAGTCCCGCGAGTAGTCCTACGGTTGTCCACTAGTAGCTCCTCCTCACTTGTGCTTGCATCACTCATGAGCTACAGTGTGTGTGATCTAAACTAGAACCCACACTGAATCCTACCTTAGCTTGACACACAACCGATTATGAAACACAACTACTTTCGGTCGGATGGGACAAAACAGTTGGGTGATATAGTTACAACTAATGTCAGGTCCTACAGGATATATTACCTCTATTTTTTAGATTACCCTGGAACAGATTGCAATACAGCAAAGATCTAGTCTATCTGTAGTTGTCTGTTAGTTGTCAGCAAGTCCGTAACAACTAGATAATCAAAGCAGAAAATAACGTCTCCTGTTGGAGATGTATGCTTGATGGCAGATTGCTTGTTGATTGCCACTGCGAACAGTTACCGGAATCCCACCCTCCCCCTTTTATCCTTCTTGAGTAGTCACTTTGTGTCAACGTCCCTGAGCATCTGGTCGAGCAGCATGTCTAAAGGTGTGCAATCCGGTCCCACCCCTGTGCCTCAAGTCATCGTCGAGCAAGGCAGCCACAGCACTCTTATTTATCCTCGTACGCCGACGAGCTTTACACCCGGTTGATCTGGCTGATCAGGAGGATTATTAAGAGCGCCCCCATCTCTTCAGGAATTATTTAACGTCGCAGTCAGGACGACGATCACAGCCAGATTCAATCCGAGTCCCCAACCAGAAATGTTTATAGACGGTCTGGTGAGCGTCTCATAGAGGCTGCCATGCCCGAGTTGAACCCTWTTTGCGCAAGCAGCAGAACAAGGACTTGCGGCCCAAGCATGCGTGTACTAGTCCTAGCGGGTTGGCATGGTGACCGTGACCCGAGTGCTTCGTCCAGGGCCCTTCAGAGGCTTCGCCCGTCTCCCACCAGCTTGCTGCCCAGGAAGAATGTCAACTCTCAAGGTTGAGCGCTCGCGACACCTCACATCGAGAGGACTCTCAAGACAGAACTCACTTCCTCAGGGTAAGAAGAGATGAAGAGGGTAGATAAGGAAGAGAGCAACATACCTCATAAATGCTGCCCCCAACCACAGATTTCTCACCGGTAACCTGATGTGCAATTATGATGACCGGTCTTTGCTTCGGCACAACCAACAGCAGAATGCGGTTCCACCTCAGCTTAATATGTCACATCAGCTAATTCTCATCATCCAGCATACATCCCGTATGTCACCACATAGCTCCCTGGCGCGCCCACACAACCCTGGGCCACCTAATGTTCAACGTCAATGCCGTATCACTGCCCCACACCTCATGCGAAGCACCAATAGCTATTGCGAAGAACCAATGAAGCGCAATATGAACCAGCTCCGATACCAAATTGCAAGGAAAATAAGCAACAGCGAGATGACAACCCCAGATCACACCATCACATTGCAAGTCAAATAGTCACACCGTGTCCAGATAGCAGCATTGCACCAATAATACACCAATGGAGTTTTGTAGCACTGAAAACCAATGTCCGTGGAGAGCACTCTCTCTCCGTTCAACACAAGAGTCCAGTACCCTTACACTCACACTTGGCGCTCAGCGCCCAGCCTACTCCTACACAGCTACTACAGACTACAAAAAGACAATGCAACTGTTGACATCAGCAGCAGCCCGAAGTACTGAAAGATGCCGCCCATGCAGACCATCGCCAATACAAGGTACGTGCCCTCACATCATCATCATCATCATCATCCTTCACCTATCCCCTGACTTCACCCACACCTGTCCTCTCTGTCACCCGAAGACCACCGCTGCTCTTCACTGTAGTCCAAGCCCACCAGCTATGGTGGCTGGGCTATGGCGCTGCCCTTAGCAGCGCCCTCCTCCTCTGCACGACCGCACGTGCTGCACCTCGCCTCCCAGTGCTAGCAGCAGCCCACGAGCATCTGCTCTAGCAGCGCTGCCGCCAGCATGCGAGTGCCTGCATGAGGCTGCCTGGCCAAAGCTCTTTCCTTTATGGAAAAGAGCTGGCCAGCTCTCGCAGCCTGGCTGGGATGGCCTGGGCCCAGCAGCTTCCGGAAGGCCTCAGGATGCTGTCTGGATGCAGCAGCTACTGGGCTGCTGGGCCTCGTTCGGTTGGGCGCCCAACTGTCTCTGTATGAGGCTGCGAATCACGCCCAGGGCCTGCATTCTTTGGAAAGGCCCGGCAGGCCGTGGAAATGTCTTTGGTGCTCGGCCTGTGTTTCTTTCAACCAACTGGCGCGTCGCAACTGCCTGGACCCCAAATATGAAATTGACAGTCGAGGGCCTCTTGCAAAAAGCCAGGCCCGCCTTCACTTAGGGAGCTGTCTCTTATACACATCTAGATGTGTATAAGAGACAGCCGCTGCTCTTCACTGTAGTCCAAGCCCACCAGCTATGGTGGCTGGGCTATGGCGCTGCCCTTAGCAGCGCCCTCCTCCTCTGCACGACCGCACGTGCTGCACCTCGCCTCCCAGTGCTAGCAGCAGCCCACGAGCATCTGCTCTAGCAGCGCTGCCGCCAGCATGCGAGTGCCTGCATGAGGCTGCCTGGCCAGAGCTCTTTCCTTTATGGAAAAGAGCTGGCCAGCTCTCGCAGCCTGGCTGGGATGGCCTGGGCCCAGCAGCTTCCGGAAGGCCCCAGGATGCTGACTTTGCTCTGCAGCTACTGGGCCTCGTTCGGTTGGGCCTCCCAACTGTCAGTGCATGAGGCTGCGATTCACGCCAGGGCCTGCATTCTTTGGAAAGGCCCGGTAGGCCGTGGAAATGTCTTCGGTACTCGGCCTGTGTTTCTTTCAACCAACTGGCGCGTTCTCTTATACACATCTAGATGTGTATAAGAGACAGATCTCTAGGTGGTGGGCACCAAGCATGCCCAGAAAGGTACATGAGGCCAATGGGGATTGAACCCATGACCTCCTGAATGCCACTTGCGAGCCTTACCAACTGAGTTAGGCCGCTGGATCAGTCCGGTTCCTATTCCCCCGGCAAGTCATAATTGAATACAAAAATTACTCACGCACGCTCCTCCCCATGATGGGTGGAAGGTCCGAGTGGGCGGCRTTGATTACTTCCCTGAGGAAGGATATACCACCCCTCCCCCCTGCCTAAGTTAGCCTATTTATGACGGGTTTTATCAATTATGTCCAATTCTGTTTTTGCTTCCAGTTAATGTAACCCTACCATGCTATGAACTTATGACATATTACAATGAAGAGGCCCGCAGGTGGTCGGTCCTATGGAAAATGAGTATGAACTTGAAGTATTACAATCTATAATTGCCAGTTTTTAATTAGTCACAAGTATTGAGACCCGATGTCTCATCTTGCAGGGCTGTCTATATTAGGAAGCAGAGTGTTGTTGCCGAGGATAAAAATGTCTTCTATGAGATATAGCCCCAGCCGTGGTGAAGAGTGATGGATGTGGATAGGGAAGAGCGGAGTTATTGTGTGCAATACGACTTGCACAGCTCTTTTTTTATTTATTTATTTTGATGTTGAACCTCCCCTGAAAAGACAACTTGGCTTAGAAGTAACAGAGCTTTTCGAAGACTAGAGCCTTTTTGGGTTGGTTCTGATGACCTCTGTCTGGAACCGTGGTTGGCTGTTGTTTTGGCAGTTTTGGGCCTATGAGAAGATGCGTGTGTTTGTGGACAAGAGGAGGAATGGGCGAAAGCTGACGTATGATTCCTTGCATCTCTCTATTTTACCTCTCCACTTGGTACCCTGGAGCTTGTAATTCAAGGGCCCAAGGCCCAAGCTCCAAGCACAGTCCATGTTTTTTTCACTCTGTGCTATTTGCAGCTGAGTTTCAGGTTGCCATGACTTTGGATTAGATAAGTGGTGAGTGACAAGTCATGTAGAATAGTTTGCAGTATGGTCAAGTTATGTAGAATAGCTCGTGAGCAATTCCACGTAAGCTCTAACTCATCCTTAACTAATCCAAGGAGCAGAGTTATTGTGTACAGAGTCTACAGACCGCATTATTGTTATCTGCAGGAATACCATTGCTTTGATAAATTGATATGCTTTGATAAGTTTGATTTGAATGTCTTTAGGGCCATCCAGATGGCCTGGAGTCTGGTGTGTGGAACACCGTCTGGAATTACAGTAAATTATTTAAACGATAAAATCGAAAACTAATCCAAATTTTAAAAAATTCTGAGAATTCTAAAATTCCAAAATGAATTCGGTTTTGAACTGAGTACGGACGCCGCCCGGCCGGGCGGGGCCCGGGCGGGTCGGCCGGGCAAACCGGGCGGGCCAAAAAACAGGCCAGAAATATATATTCTATTTGACGATATATATATATAACAGTTTGTCACAGCCCCTCGTTTGTTGTCCTCTTCTCCCTCTCTGCCTACGGTTTACCGGGCAGTTCTATTTGACGATATATATATATTTATAATATATTCTGTTTACGAGATATGTATATTTGTAACAGCCCTCGTTTGTTGTCCTCTTCTCCCTCTCTGCCTACGGTTTACCGGGCAGCTCTATTTGACGATATCTGCC